GTCACAAGCAGTCGATGTCCCTCGCAGAAGAAACGGTTCATCTCATCAGGATCAGCATGTTCAGCGGCAACGTTCTTCTTGGCGTTGTTATGCACACCCTCACGCCGGAGGTTGCTCCAAAGCTTTTTTGCAGGGAGGTTGTGTGCAAAATGCGTTTCCCCGTATCGCTTCTTTGCTGCTGAGATCAACGATGCTGCCTTACCGCGTTTTCGTACGAAGTCGTTCCACTGATTGTCGTTCCTTCTCCTGTTGGGATTTCGCGTGTAGAGTGCGTGTGCTAGGTCTCTCACGGCAGTCGCCCTTTCAATTTCTGTTGTAAACCATGGCGTACGTGCATCTTTTACAACAATTTCACGTTCAGGAGCATGTCTGTCCATTAGGTTTTGCAGTTTGGTTGTTATTGTCTGTGCTTTAGTGTTAACGTCGTCGGTGTTGAGTGCCTCTCTGAAGTCCATTGTTTGGAAGTCTGCCTGAAGTGCAACAACCAGTCTTGTAAGCGGTCACGGTAGTCGACACATTTTCTGTGATAATTGACTGCCTTTGCCTCTGACACTTGCAAAACAAGCTATCATAGTACAGTACCAAACTAAAATGTCGTATGACAGGCTCTGTCATACGACACTGCCGCCGAAGACCGTCACGAATGTATTTATTTTAGTTTTTCTCATAATAAGAACTGCTGATGGTGTGCTTGTGTGAATTCTGAAAATGGCAAGCAATGATGTCCTTGTAATAATATTTCTGATCAGATATGATAGCTATTTTGATAATTTTCTTTCAGCTCGAATGTTATTCTACCGCTCGTGTTGTGTGAGAGAGACGACGGTAGAGCATGAGTGTTCGAATACAAACAGACTGTCACGCACGACAACGAAGCGAGTGTAGTAAAAAACGTCAACTGTTTCAACCCCTGGCAACAACATCAACATTACGGAAATTTCTGACCATAATACGCTGAGGTGCTGCTTTTCTAACTTTAACGTCGGAGATCAAGAAGATGATCTCATGATCTGAGAGGCTCGAGGATTTTGTCTTAGCTGTACGTATAGATTCAGGACTGTCTGTGATGAGTAGATCGATTGTCGTTGAACTTCTTTCTGCTATTCTTGTGGGTGGTGTTGGTAGGATGGTAAGGTGGAAGGCATCGTGAATACGGATGAGCGATCTCAGATTTCCTGATGACTGTTGAGCAGTGACGTTGATGTTAAAGTCTCCGGCAACGAAGATTCGGTCGAAGGCGAAATCCTGGACATCGAAAAGGAGCTTCTCGTACTCTCATGCAAAATGCGGGTTCGAAACGAAGGGATTGTAGATGGTGACGATTCCAATGTTGAGATCGTTGATTTTTACCTTAACGACGAGATACTCGAACCTTTGCGCTAGAAACACGTCTGAATCGTATGTAGATTTGAGTACTGGGGTTGCCGTCAGACCTTTCAACACGTAAATCCCGATTCCTCCACAGGATTTGCTTCCACGGCCTCTGTTGGATGGTAATGAATGTTTCACGAAGTTGTAAGCTGGTACACGGACTGGTCCAACAGGTGCAGAGGATTTTAGTTTCGTTTCTGTGACTGCGAAGAAGTGGTATTCCGTCCTGTGAAGCAGTAGTTTGAGCTCGTCGATGTGGCGTTCAAGTCCTCGTACGTTTAGATGTCCAAGTCGTAGATTAGAGATGTTATTGTTCGGCATATTTGTTGGAGATATTCGTATTTTGAGAAAGGTTAGCGTGTGGTGGGTGGTCATTGTTGGGATGATACGTCTGCAGACAAGGCGTCGAAAAACACTGAGGACTCATCTATGCTGGCATCAGTCCCAGTTAGCTTGAGCAATTCGTTGCAGTCCATTATTGGAACATAACGCTTCTGTCCGGCCAGCCGCACAGATATCTTATCGTTCCGGACGAAAATGTACTGCACTATTTTCTTTTGCTTCAGCCTCAGGGCCAGGTTGCGGATGCGGAAAGCTTGAATGGAGAGCATTTCATTTACTGTGAAGCGATATTCTAGTGGGGCTGCGGATTTAAGGTTGCATAACTTGGCGTCTTTGTGCTTTTCGAAGTAGCGTTTGAGAACTAGCGATCTTATCTCTCTGCTATTGAAAGCGACAAGCACCGTGGGGGTGAGGCTTCGGTCAGTCCATTTGGAAGGCTTTACTGGAAGTCGGAAGCAAGCTGTTACGTGCGACATATGTTCTTTAATGCCGAGGAAATCCTCTACAATGGAACGAACGTTCTCGCCAGGGCGAAAAGGAACCTTGTTAATGGCTATCCGACAGCAGTTCACACTTTGTGAACAGGTGTTAGCGAGTTTCGCACCTGTTTGGATTAATTCTAACTTCTCCTCAATGTTCCCAACTAGAGTGCTGCAAGATGTTCTCCTGCTCTCCAACTGGTCGATCGTTTGCAGCTTGTTTTGGACGCAGTCTATCTGTTTTTTCATGTTAGATTGAAGCAGCTGCAGATCGGATTGCAGCTTCCTTAATTCCATGCTGAGTTCGTCGATTCTCTTCTGAGCCTCTTCACACTTTTCAGTGGAACTGGTCTGTTGGGCTTTGGGCAGCAGCGATCCGATAATCGAACACTTCTCGCATAGATAGATATGCTCTGTTACGACGGCTAAGAGGGCCGGATTGATCCGCACACATACAGTATGGAACCACTTATTACAGGAGTCACAGCCGATCCATCCAATTTCATCACTGGTTTTCTTCTTCTTCGCTCCAGTCTTCTTCTTCGGAGGCTCATCTTGCTTACAGATGCCGCAAACTTCTTCCTTCATGATCGCACCACAACGCTAACACACTCAATCAATTTACTGCTGCATAGCAGTATTCACAAACACAAACACAACAGAAGGTTCTGGCTTCTACGCGCTCGACGCGGATAACGAACTTTTCGTCCGAAACAAATACCGGGAATTTCTCACTAGATGTGGATAAAAATTACTAAATTCCACTTTCTCGTTGATCTGGAACCACCAGCCGAGCTTCCGGAACAGGAACAGAGACTTACGGACACGGAAATAACACGGAAATACGCGAAAAGTCGGGAACGAAAAATTCAACCGCGGCGCGTCGGCAGTGTTGCCAGTAACCAGTATTAAAATGAGAAATTAAGTAAGTGCTAAACTTCAACATTCAATGGATTTGTTTATACAATTGTTTCTTTAAAACTGATTGTCATGTCTTAAAAAAGTTTATTTTATCTTATTTCTCTTGAATGACCACACACCCACGGAATCTGACTACACCAGCTCATAGAGCAAATATTTTTTTCTGTCAGATGATTTAGTTAGTTTAAGTAGGTATGTTGTCATTCGTAAGAAACCGACGATCCAAGTCATTGTTTACGTTTGGAGTGAGACCCTTCTGACATGTTTCCCCTGAAATGATTTTTATCAGCACTGCTGAGCAGAGCGTAAAGTTATTGACTGCTTTGGCTCATTAATTGTTTGCACAAATCAGAACCCAGGTGAAGTCATCCGAGATGTAAACAAAAACGACATCAGTGTTGCAAGCTTCACTCTGCGTAACTCTTCTATTATCAACTATGCTTTGGCTGAGTGTGAAAGCAATTCACACTCTCTATTCAATTCAATTCATTGCTCTACACTCAAAAAATTTATCACATATCTAATGGATGAAATCCATGTGATTTTCACATAGTTTTCCTGTGATCACATAGCAGCAAATCCCACCACAAAATCACATGAATATTATGAGGTCCATGCAATTAATGTGATCGCATAAATGTTATGTGAAATTCAGATGAATTCTATTAATTTTGATTATGGATGAAAATCATGTGCGTTTCCAATGGAAGCTACATGAAAACTATTTTCGGTGTATCCTGATTGTGTTGACCAAGTGGTAAAGGACGAGGCAATGAAAGCGCCAACAAAAACATCCAGTCATTCACGAACAGGTGACTCACGCCACTTGCCTTAGGGATCGTCCATTAATTATGTAACACTTTTAGGGGGAGGGGTTTTTTGGAAACTTTGACGAGCCATACAAAAAAATTAAGGTCCATACAAAAAATGTGAAAAAGGGAGGAGGGGGGGTCGAAAGTGGGGTAAATTTGCGTGACATAATTAATGAACCTTCCCTTAGCTCACACAGCAGGTAATTGAGGCATTTTTCCTATAGTCTCAATATTCATAGTCTGGCGGATAGAATTTCGATCTATCAAAAAGCAGAAACAATTCAATATATTTTAGACCAACAATTGAAAAGGTATTATCAAATTTATAAACAAAACGTTGATTATTCTTTCCTCGCCAACAAATTACCGGCATCATCGATGGTGTCAGTTGGCGAGCCTTGAGTCACGAGAAAAGGGTTTCTGTAGTTTTGTTCGCAATAGCTGATGTGCTCTTTTCTGTTGCTGATTTGCTAGATTGGTTCCGTTATTTGACAGCTCAATTGGTTCCCGAGATTCTATCCGCCAGACTATGAATATAGTGACTATAATTTTTCCTATTATTTATAACTATTGACCCATCAACTCATGGACCGGGAACCAACGGGCTTTACTTCCGAGGCGTGATCAGAGATTGTATGCCTCGGAAAATCCCGACGGCGCCGACTGGGATTGAACTCAGGTCCTTTGGAGTGCGAGACAGTCACGCAACATGTCGGCGTTATCTGATTTGTTATCTCATGGCAGCAAAGGACTGCTATTCAAATGTAAATGAAAGCAGTTTGAAATGGAGGAATGGAATTTAACCCGAATCAAGCACCACCCTAGGCATGCATCTTATATCAAACTGATGACATTACAAGTTCGTACAACGGCAAACAAAATCGAACGATAATAGCCGAGGGCAGACGAGATAAGCGCTGTTCCCAAATATGTCCAGACACCTCAGGGCATTAGGATTGGGGTGGCATAGATGACGATAAAGGCACCACCAAATCCCCCATCAATTTACATACCTATCATAGATGAAGAAATATATGCTAGGATAGACTTATATATTAAGGCGCAATCCACTCACCCGATAGCATTCTCGAAGATTTGCTGAATTCGAACCTCTCGTTCTTTATCACTCGCACAATCATCCAGAGGCGATTGTTGAAGCAGCTGTTGCTGCTGCTGTCCGGTATGATCTAGTGGCATCCCAATGGGGAGATTGGCCAACCCGTAGCTGGCACTCAGTTTACTTAGCATCAACTTGCTCACCCCCAGCTGCGAGAGGAAGTCACTCATTCCTCCCTGGGTGCTACTGCCGGTTCCCGAGGAACCCGGCACCGATCCCGTCGAGGATGAAATCGCCGATGTCGAAGAGGACGCAGCCGCCGATTGAATCACCGGCACCGATCCGGTTGCCTGTTGGCTCAACAGAATTGCCTGCTGATGCTGTTGTTGTTGCTGCTGCTGCTGCTGCTGTTGCTGATGTAGGAGATGAAGAGTCTGCGGCGGATTCTGGTGGGCTACAGCCGGCAACTTTCCGTAGCTATTGTTACCCCCCAGGTTTGGTGGAATTCCCAGGGGCCGATTCTGTTTCCATGGTTGGAAGTGATTGGGCTGCGACATTCTCGGAACTTCCACACCACCACCACCTCACAAGCACAAACTTCCTGGCCTTGAGAGCGCGTAACACTCGAATCTTCCGTCTACACTCGACGTGCACACACAAAAGTAATCTCTTCTTATTCGACTCGGCTCTCCAATTTTCGGTTTCTTCTTTTGTACATTCACATTTTGCCCCCCGAAAAAGATTTCATTCCCTACTACCTACTACCGATCTTCCTGGATACGTATTTTCTTCTTCCCAGGCTAATGCTGAGCAAATTATTTATTTTCTGCTTGTCAGCTGGACCAAAATCCGAATCTACATCTCCGCTGATGGTACTGTGACGACGATTCCCGAGATAAATCCACAGGAAAAATATTCCACTGTTATCTTCGCTTCTTTTTGACAACACGACAAACGTCACTGGCCAGATTTTTATACGCAATCCTCCTCCGATTATGCGGAAACACCAAAGGCGAAGATTGTGTGCAGTAGGACCAACTAAAAATATGAAGATCGAAAAAGATCTTCTTCCAATCCAAGAGGGTGTTCTCAGTAGCGGCACTATCACTATCACTAGAATTTGCAGATGTAGAAATCTTCGAATGCACAATAGAATGAAGTAAGAGAATCGAGAAAGAGAGTACAGACCAAAAACTGATGGGAGAGCAGCGAAAATGATTAGCTGCTATTCTACGCTGCGACGAACGACCGATTGGAACGGCGATTGAATGAAAAACTGATGGCCTTTTCTTATGAACGAACGGAACGACGGAGAAGAAAAGAGGTGAGAAACGAAGAATGCAATTTGACAGTTTGCATCAGCTGGTCTGCTGATTTCCTTTTTTTCTTACGAACGGGCAACACCAATTTATTTTTGTTTCTCCTTTTTATTCGAGTTTGTTTGGTTGAGGGATAGGAATAGTGCGACACTGAAAAACATATTGGAGTTCTTTTTGAATAGGTCCTGTGTCTAGTAAAATTTTGTACATTTGAAGGAATTAGTGACGTTTGAGGCACGCACAGTACACCTCGCAGTACACAGCAAAAAAAAGTTGTTGAATATTACATCGAAACTGCTACAACCAGGTCAATCCATCAGTTTGTTGTGTAATATCTCATTTTACGATGTACATCGATTGTTGGCGAACCCACTGGGCAGACTCCGCCGGCTGTCAAGTGAGTCCCGGTTACACCCTTTGCGATTTGTGCGGTCGAGTATAAGTGGCAGTGGATTAACTGTCAAGAATAATGATTGGAACGGAAGGAAAGAGAGGCTGAAGAAGAAAAAACAAAGTAAATTTATTGTGAAAAGAAATAAGATTTTGTTAATTGGAAAATTGTGAAATTTAACGAAAAGTAAGGTTTATTCCTGGTTAAATTTATAAAACTATTGTATCGAAAAGGTAACTGCTGAAATTTAAAACGAAGTGCATCTATTTAATTTAATCATTGTTAGAAACAGATTCGTACGTGGGAAGTAGTGGAAGAAAGCTAACCTATAGGATTCGTGAAAATACCAAAATGTGAGTTTTCTATACCTACCAAGCTAAAGCTAACACAAATAATAAAATTCCAGCTTTGAAGCTGCGCCAACCGGGCTGCTAGCAAAGAGGTGTTTTTGACCACGATACCGAAATACTTCCCCCAACAAATCTTCAAAGATTTTGTGGTAGTCGGGATTTGCGAACAGGATCACCGCATGGAAAGTTCCGGAAAGATGAATCCGGAAAGCCATTGCCTAATGTGCGATCGACTGGACAACGTCGACAACCTGGTCCAGTGCGACAAGTGCGACGGATATGTGCACTTTTCGTGTGGGGGAGTAGGTGATTCGATTGCCGATGCAGATCGGAGTTTTACCTGCAGGAGGTGCGTTGATAGGGAAGAAGTCGTCACGATATCTTCACACCGCACTAGCAGACGCTCCCACACGACGTCCGACAGTAGTTTCAGTGCAACACGATTAAGGTTGCGGCTACAGCAGCTGGATACGGACCGGCAGATTAAGCTGAAAGAGCTGGAAGATGCTGAAAAGTTTCAGCGACTACGACGTCAGGTGGAAGCTGATTTCGAAAAGCAGCGGTTCGAGGCACTCGAAGCCCAACTGCTTGAAGAGGACCAGAATCGAAGCGTGAGGAGCAGAGTCAGCTCCAGGATCATCCGTGAGAACACCACAACTCGAAACCAATCGAGATCCGGAAGAAATACACCTGTAGGCAGCGTTGTAGCCGAAGTCGTAGGTACGATTCAACCGAGTGAAGCAGTTTTCACGTCGACAAGCGAGATAACGCTGCAGAAAGGGGAATTGAACACCGGTACGACTGGATCTCAAGTGTCGGCAAACAACGTCGTTGGTCGGCAGGAAGAAGTGATTCCAGCCATCGCAGCAACAAGTAAGGAGGATCAGATCGGTCCAGGAAAGTCTACGACCATCAACAATAACTTCGGGACGCCAGTGCAGAAACAAAGTGAGTCACAGCCCACTGATGGCCAGTATTCTGAACGAGTGGCTTCTTCAGCGACGAGCATTATTTACAGGGTGTCGTACGGAGGTGGCACTTCAGTACATTATGGTATACCCACCAGTACAGGTCAGTCTGAAATGGACCAGGTGAGGATTAGTCGTAGCAATTCGAATGTAGGATTACAACCAATAGTCGAGGTTGTTCAAACCAGTACTCCAAAACAATCACTCGTAGTTCCAATAGCAAATCAATCCAATCAGTTAGGGACTATGGGTAGGGCTGAAAATCATTCAAAATCAACATGCTTGCAAGTCATTAGTCAGGGTCAGTCTTCCCAACCTCCTCACCCAAAAACAACGCCACATAAAGATGAACCTCCCCCCGGGCCCAACACGCTGGCCCCTGTGCTACTGCCAGGGAACATCCAGCAGATCATTTCGAATTCGTCGGTGCTTTTACCACCGCCGGGGTACGAGCAGTGTGACGTCCGAAATCCGTCCGTTCTTCTGCCACCGCCGGGGCACGAACAGTTTACCGATCTGAATCCGTCGGTGCTTCTGCCACCGCCGGGGTACGAGCAGGGTAACGTTGTGAATCCGTCTATGCTTCTGCCACCGCCGGGGCACGAGAAGGGTACCAAATCGAAATCGTCGGAGCTTCTGCCACCGCCGGAGCATAAGCAGAAAACCATGCCGAAGTTACCGTCTTCTATGCACCAGGTACGCCTTGATGAACGTACCCAGTGGAATCAGTCAGTACTCCAACCACCTGGATACGAGAGTTTTTTGGAGAAACCAACAATGCCTCCGTCAAAGTCAACCAATCTGAATTGCACGATTCCGAACGTGCAGCCGCCTCTAGGGGGACAAGAGCAGCATTTCGTGCCAAATACATGGTCATCGGTCCCACATCATGAGACTATACCGAGTTCCCAACAGCAGCTGGGAACTAAACTGAATCGCCAATCACAACAAACAGAATTTCCGAGGAATTTCGGGCGAGAGCAGTCGTCAGTTTTAAATCAAGGGCAAACCACAGCACCCATGATGTCACACGGTTACCAGTCGGTGCAACAACAATTCGTTGCCGCGAACTCGTCGGTGCTTTTGCCTCCGTCGGGGCATCAGCAGTTCCAGGTACCAACGTCGTCGGTGTTTGTGCCGTCGTCGGGGCATCAACAGTATCAGGTACCAACGTCGTCGGTGCTTGTGCCACCGTCGGGGCATCAGCAGTATGGCATGCCGAATTCGATGGCACTAGAGCCATCGCCAAGGCTTGAGCAGCCGTTTGCGTTGGGGAACCGGAATTTTCAATCATTGCCAGTGCAGCAGAATTTCATTGATCCAGTGCGCCCACGATGCGTAGCAGGCCCTACAGCCGAACAATTAGCCGCTCGTCAAGTGATACCACGAGATCTACCCGTATTCTCTGGAGATCCTCTGGATTGGCCGCTGTTCTTCAGTTCCTTCCGGAATTCTACTCAAGCGTGTGGGTACAATGATGCTGAGAACTTAGCAAGACTTCAACGATGTCTTCGAGGACATGCTCTGGATAGCGTTCGCAGCCGTTTGCTGATTCCAGAGTCAGTCCCTCACGTTATGGCTACGCTGCTACGACTTTATGGCAGACCAGAGGTGGTCATCCATTCACTCCTGAAACGGATGCGTGAAACTCCCTCTCCCAGAGGCGATGATCTTAAAACTTTGATCAAGTTCGGTATGGGAGTGGAGAACTTAGTTGAACACATGATTCTGGCGGACCAACAGCAACATGTTAGTAACCCTATGCTACTACAAGAATTGGTAGATAGGCTTCCACCTAATCTGAAGCTGCAATGGGCTTCCCACAAACGAAACTACTATACTGTCAACTTGGCAACATTCAACGATTTCATGAAGGACCTCGTAACGATGGCAAGTGACGTAACTTTACACGTAGATCCGGTAATGCAGAGTTCGGGAAAGTTTGATAAAAATAAGCGGGAAAAACCTGTGAAGGAGAAGCTGTTCGTCCATCAACAAGCGTCCGCAGCACCGGGAGTGGCAGAAAGCAGCATGGGTCAAACTAGGGGTCAAAAGGATGTCATCAATCCAGTTAGCAAGCCCTGTTTACACTGCGGAAAATCGGATCATCGCATAGCTGAGTGTACAGAGTTCAAGAAGCTGAATATGGACGAACGGTGGAAGGTAATGCGGCAGAAGGGATTGTGTCGGCTATGCTTAGTCCCTCATCGAACATGGCCATGTCGCTCGAAGCAAGACTGTGGGGTCGGAGACTGTCACATGCGTCACCATCCTCTGCTGCACTCGAATAAACCAGAGTCAACTACACCGTCACCATCAACATCTACCAACAGAAGCGTCGCGCACCAGCATCATCATTCCCTAACTTCATCTGCGTTGCTGCGCTATCTTCCCGTCACACTGTACGGAAATGGGAAGAGCGTAGACGTATACGCGTTCCTCGACGACGGATCCTCGTCAACCATGTTGGAAGCGGAAGTGGCGAACCTGCTAGGAGTAAAAGGGCCCTGTGAACCGTTGTGTTTAAGCTGGACGGGTGATGTGAAAAGAATGGAGAATGGATCACAGCGTATTCAGATAACCGTCTCAGGACGGAGCGAGGAGAAGAGTTTCCCGTTGAGAGCAAGGACGGTAGAACAGTTGAAACTACCCAGTCAGACTGTGGATTACGAAGAGCTCTGTGAAGTGCATCCCCATCTGAGGAAATTGCCACTGCACGGGTACGCAGATGTCGCTCCTCGACTGATAATTGGAGTATATAACGCTAAGTTGATTAGTGCACTCAAGAGTCGAGAAAGCGGTACTGGAGAGTTGGTTGCAGCAAAAACTCGACTGGGTTGGTGCATTTACGGACGACACGCTATCCAAAGTAGTCTTGAGGAATACGTGAATGCTCACGTGGAGCAATGCGAAAAAGAGGCAGAACTTCACGATCTGTTCAGGCATTTAATGGCAGTAGAAGAGGCAAACATCAAGCACAGTCCTCAATCGGAGGAAGACAAGCGTGCCTTGAAGATTCTGCAGGAAACCACTCGAAGAGTTGACGGAAGATTGGAGACAGGACTTTTGTGGCGAAATGATGATCCGTGCCTTCCAAATAGCTACCCAATGGCAGTGCGTAGAATGGAAGCGCTCGAAAGGAAGTTGTCCAAAGATTCCTACCTCGATGGGAAGGTAAGGGGACAGATCGCAGAGTATCTCGAAAAAGGGTACGCTCATCGGATAACTGCAGTTGAACTGGAGTCTACGGAACCTGGTCGCGTGTGGTATCTACCACTTGGGGTAGTAAGGAACCCTAATAAACCAGGAAAGATACGATTGATTTGGGATGCTGCAGCCCGAGTGAATGGCGTTTCTTTCAACGATCTAATGCTAAAAGGACCAGACATGCTGACTGCTCTACCTACCGTTCTGCTGCGTTTCCGGCAGAAGCGCGTGGCATTCAGTGGAGACATTAAAGAAATGTTCCACCAATTCCTGATCCGGAAAAGGGATAAACAGGCACAGAGGTTCGTATTCCGAGAGTGTCCAGGGCAGCCACCGCAGATTTTCGTGATGGATGTTGCCACATTTGGCGCAGCGTGCTCACCGTGCATCGCACAGTATCTGAAAAACAGGAATGCAGAGGAGTACGCGGACCGATTCCCAGATGCAGCCAGGGCCATCATCGAAAACCATTACGTTGACGACTATCTGGACAGTGTGGAGACGGTAGAAGAAGCGGTAAAGCTGATAGAGGAAGTGAAACATGTGCATTCCAAGGCTGGGATGCAGATTCGAAACTTTTCGTCGAACTCCTCAGAAGTGCTCGAGCGCATAGGAGAAACCAGCAAAGTTCAGCAGAAGTCCCTCAACCTGGATTCGGATGTAGAGAGAGTACTGGGTATGGTATGGAGACCATCAGAAGATGTTTTCAGTTTCGAGATCAGTCTGAAGGAGGAGGTTCGAAACATTGTGGAGAGTCAGGATGCACCTACAAAACGTCAAGTCCTACGGACGATCATGTCTCTGTTTGATCCATTAGGGCTGGTGGCACACTTCTCGGTTCACGGGAAGATACTCATGCAGCGAATCTGGAGAAGTGGAGCGGATTGGGACGAAACGATTCGTGGTGAGATACTGGAAGACTGGCGCAAGTGGATCGGATTGCTTGCTAAGATAAATGAAGTCCGTGTGCCAAGATGCTTCTTCACCGGATCAAGAGATACACCGAAAGAGACGCAAATTCATGTCTTTGTCGATGCGAGCGAGAACGCGTACGCATGCGTAGCGTATCTTCGGAACACGAGTAATGGGAAACCTCAATGCACACTGATAGCTGCGAAGACAAAAGTAGCACCGTTGAAACCCCTCTCAATTCCGAGGCTTGAGTTGCAAGCAGCTTTGATCGGTTCACGACTGCTGGACAGCGTTTGCAAGGCACTGACATTGCCAGTGGCCGCTCGATTCCTCTGGTCAGACTCGACAACCGTTCTCGCTTGGCTGAAGTCCGAGACTCGACGATATCATCAATTCGTCGGCTTCCGAGTAGGAGAAATTCTGAGTACGACTACCGTTGATGAATGGAGAAAGGTTCAATCGAAGGTAAATGTAGCGGATCAAGCAACGAAGTGGAGAGACGGACCCAGTTTAGACCCGACGACTGGTGGTATGTAGGGCCGGCTTTCCTGATGAAACCGGACGAGAGCTGGCGAAAGGAAAATTCAGAGGAGTATTCGACAGCAGAGGAACTACGGGCAGTCTTTCTACATCATCGAGTCATATCGCCACTGATCATAGATGTTCAGCGATTCTCAAAGTGGTCGAGGCTTCAGCGGACGACCGGATACGTTGTTAGAGCGACGAAGGTGTTCCTAGGCCTGAACGCTGAGGGCCCACTTACGCAAGAAGAGCTGCTGAAGGCCGAAGCCATGATCTTTCAACAGGTGCAAAAACATGCATATGCGGATGAATACGTCACGCTTAGCTACAACAATGAGCACCCAGACGCGGAACCGAAGCAGATCGCAAGATCGAGTGCATTGTACAAGTTGAGTCCAATGCTGGACGACGATGGAGTTCTTCGGATGAATAGCCGTATCGCAGCAGCACCGATGGTAACCAAGGATGCGAGATTTCCGATCTTCCTCCCCAAGGGTCATCGGGTGACGGAATTGCTCGTAGAATGTTATCATGTTCGTTTTCTACATGGAAACCACGAAACGGTAGTCAACGAGATAAGACAGCGGTTTCGGATTCCCCAACTTCGCTCGGTGGTTGCGAAGGTAGTTAAGCAGTGTCAGCATTGTCGTGTTCAGAAGGCAGCCCCAAGGGCACCGATCATGGCACCTCTTCCTGAGATCCGGCTGACTGCCTTTATACGACCATTCACACACACTGGGGTGGACTACTTCGGTCCCGTCTTCGTAAAACAAGGACGAAGCACGGTCAAGCGTTGGGTAGCGCTCTTCACGTGCCTGTCAATCAGAGCAGTGCATCTCGAGATCGTCCACAGCCTGTCCACCCAGTCGTGCGTGATGGCCATTAGAAGGTTCGTGGCACGCAGGGGTTCACCAGCAACGTTCTATTCAGACAATGGAACCAACTTCGTAGGGGCGAGCAACTTGCTTAAGGAGCAGCTCAAGGCAATCACGGAGCATTGCGCTGTAACCTTTACGAACGTGAGCACGAGATGGCTATTCAATCCACCCCTAGCGCCACACATGGGAGGACCGTGGGAGCGCATGGTCAGGTCGGTTAAGGTGGCAATGGCGGCGATCGCAGATCATCCACACCACCCCAGTGATGAGGTTCTGGAGACTGTTGCGCTCGAAGGCGAGTCGATAGTCAACTCAAGACCGCTAACGTACATCCCTTTGGATCATGCGGATCAAGAGGCCCTCACACCGAACCATTTCCTGCTCTACGGGACACAAGGCATCAACCAACCTAGTCGGGACCTACAGCACGAGTATGCAACTCTGAGGGACAGCTGGAAGCTTTCGCAGTACCTGGTTGATATGTTCTGGAGCCGCTGGTTACACGAATACCTACCTACGCTAACACGCCGCACCAAATGGTTCCAGCCAGTAAAACCGTTGACGCCCGGTGACTTAGTGGTTGTGGTCGATGAAGGCAAGCGAAACGGATGGCTGCGAGGGCGAATTCTGGATGTCGTGACGGGAAAGGATGGGCAAGTTCGCAGAGCAGTAGTGCACACTTCCCGGGGAATGGTTAGTCGACCAGCAACCAAGTTGGCGTTGCTGGAAGTTCGTGAAATGCCTGAAAAATCGGAAGAAAAGTGTTCGAGTGAACCGGAACTACACGGGCGTGGGAATGTTGGCGAACCCACTGGGCAGACTCCGCCGGCTGTCAAGTGAGTCCCGGTTACACCCTTTGCGATTTGTGCGGTCGAGTATAAGTGGCAGTGGATTAACTGTCAAGAATAATGATTGGAACGGAAGGAAAGAGAGGCTGAAGAAGAAAAAACAAAGTAAATTTATTGTGAAAAGAAATAAGATTTTGTTAATTGGAAAATTGTGAAATTTAACGAAAAGTAAGGTTTATTCCTGGTTAAATTTATAAAACTATTGTATCGAAAAGGTAACTGCTGAAATTTAAAATGAAGTGCATCTATTTAATTTAATCATTGTTAGAAACAGATTCGTACGTGGGAAGTAGTGGAAGAAAGCTAACCTATAGGATTCGTGAAAATACCAAAATGTGAGTTTTTCTATACCTACCAAGCTAAAGCTAACACAAATAATAAAATTCCAGCTTTGAAGCTGCGCCAACCGGGCTGCTAGCAAAGAGGTGTTTTTGACCACGATACCGAAATACTTCCCCCAACATCGTTTTTGCGAGCAAAATTACATCCATTGATGTAATATTGTATCTGCTTTTTGCTATTACATCATTATTTTATACATCAGCTTGAATTAAGTTGATCGATATTACATTTTTTTTGCTGTGTAGCGGGTGCACCGCCGTGTAAATTTGTTTATTATTTTCCTCAGACTAATAAATAAAAAATAATTAGACTGTCAAGATTAGAGTCGGTGTATAATGAGTCACGCCAAGAGAAAAACAGTTGAACTCGCAACACGGTTTTCGAAAGACTTCTACAACAACTTCAAATGACTTCTAGCGAGAGAAAAAATATTGCAGCTGTAGTAAATCATTATATCGGTGATTTTGTCAAATTATCTTAACAAAAAATAGTAGAAATTCTCATTACAAATCATTACCGAGCGTATCCCATGACAATTTAATTTATGCTCATTTCTTCGATTATATTTTATATTTTATTGCAATACCTTTCGTGGACCTTTCATAGCATCGTAATGTTTATTGACTTTACATGATAGGTAGCCGATTTGACAGTTCAATAGGTAGACTTGGCTTCACTCTTGGCGTGACTTATTTTACACCAACTCTAGTCAAGATGAGTTTGCCAGCAACGATAGCGACAGTCGTACACGAATAGAAGTCTCCTTATACCTTTTGGCAAATTTCTATTGCTGATTATTCATAAAGTGTATAAGTCAACTAATAAGCAGACGCCTTGCAAAAAGTTAATGAAGATCATGTGTCGAATGAAATGTATAAGCGGTTACACATACCTTTTATGCATTCTTATAGGACCTATGTAGCTTGTCTTATGGAATGTATAAGGCTGATGTTTTGGCAAAAATGTATAAGTGAAACACATGAAGAAAACTAATTGATTTTCGTTTCGTGTACGAAGCCAGTGGGTTGAAAAAAAGAAGTAGGGAATTGTTCGCAACAGCGAATAGATTGGTACCACTGCCGTGTATCGATTACACCGCCACCGCTAACCACTCCACGTTTCCGATGTTGGCCGCAGAAATCAGCACAGCAGAAATATTTCCTTATCCTTTTTTCCCTTCCTTGCATTTTGTTTTACTAACCCCGAGAACGCCGCGGGCAAACGGCTTCCCTTACTAACACTAGCAATAAGAACAGAAATAAGTGTAAACATCCAATAAGAATCTAGCTTTTATGACATTGTACACGTTCATTCCGTTTTGCGTAGTAGATTGTTAGACCAATCATCATCGTCATTTAATTTCTCTTTGATTCAAAAAAGTATAAAACCAAGCGAATCACGCATTCACATTGTCAGTCGTTTCCGAATTGCCAAGCAATATAGAGATAAAGTGAAGAAGCTGAAGTTATCCTATCCAAGAAAGAAAATTCCAGTTTTCCCGTCGATTCGATATCGATGCAAGGGGCCCCTGTTACCGTCCTAGTTTTGTCGGTGGTCCTGCTCAGTGGAGTTCCTGTTCCCTCTACTTCCGAAATGGAGAGTTGCTGTTCCCACCGTTGCTTGTTGCCGTCGCTGCTCTAAAAAGAGTTTTACTTTCGCGGTGTTCTTTTAAGAACTACCGATTCCGAGTAAGCGATGTCGGCTCGCAGCTGGTGCAGCTGGAATTTGTCGTCATCTGTTGGCAAGGCCCAACGAGCAGCCGTTTTAGATTCAAGTCAAACATCACGTTGGCAGTCGAGCCAACATAGTGGTCCGTTCCGAACCGGATAAAAGTGCGAAACATACAGTCCACGAGTGAATTGTTTTCCCGTGTCACGGTGGTCAATACGGAAGAAGAAGAACAGTGTACCGAAGAAAAAGTGAATTGTTATAGCTTCCATTGACCTAACCGTGAACATGAACAAACACGTATGAACATGAACAAAGTGAATTGCTAGAACGCAAAAAGAACAAGTTGTGAAGTTTGCTGGATTCCCAGTATCCAAAAAGTGATGTTCCTGTGAAGCAGTAAAGTACGAAGTGTTCCTAACTGGTATCATTTTCCTCGAGAGTTACTCTTCCGAAGTAACAACATCCTTCCTTCGTGATGCCAGTGGATTATACCCCAACCAAACCTGTGAAGTTGACCATGGAGGACATCAAGCCACTCATCCACCAACGTGGTCAGGTAAAGGCCAAGGTCACTGCGATTGCAAGTGCCTTGGAAAGAGCCGAAGACGATCCAACTCAGGTGAGTCTACCCATTCTCAAAGTTTATGCGAAGAAGCTCGAAGCTCATTACAATGAGTACAATAACTTGCACAAGGAAGTTCTTTGTTCCATCCCTCCTAACAAAACTAATGATCAGGATGAAAAGTTGAATGAGTTTGACAAGCTTCACACCGAATCTTTGATTCGGTTGGAGCTTCTGATAGAAATGTTGTCAGTTTCCAAGATTTCCCCTGTTACATCCAATACACCAACTAGTGCTACACATGTAATCGTGCAGCAACAACCGCTCAGAGCTCCAATCCCTACCTTTGACGGGCGCTATGAGAATTGGCCCCGTTTTAAGTCCATGTTCGAAGATATAATTGGTCGAAGCTCTGATTCCGATGCAATCAAACTGCATCATCTAGAAAAAGCACTAGTTGGTGGAGCCTCTGGTATACTTGATTCAAAAACTCTTGCTGACAACAATTACAAGCATGCTTGGGAAATTCTTACTGATCGTTATGAAAATCCCAGAATTATCATTGATACTCACATTGATGAGCTTTTAACAATGAAGAAGATGTCAAAAGAATCCCATAAGGATCTTCGAGCTCTGGTAGATACGTGCACGCGTCACGTTGAGGGTTTAAGGTTCATGAAACAACCAGTTGAGGGTACAACGGGATTAATAATCAACAAAATTTTGACATCCTGTCTCGATGGTGCCACTCGTAAACAGTGGGAACGATCCCTTTCTCATGATGAGTTGCCGAATCTCAATAAGACACTGACCTTTCTGAAGGAACAGTGCCGTATCCTTGAACGCTGTGAAGCCGATACTCATACAACCGTGAAAGCGCACCCAATGAAACCATCCCAACAATATGTTAAGCCTACCAGCGTTAAGGTTCATGCGTCAACATCCAGTACTAACAACGAACCATGTCAGTTGTGTGGCAAGGGCCATTTCAACTATCAATGTCCCGACTTCTCAAAGTTATCAGTGGCTGATCGAGCTGCCAAGGTAAGAGAAGCCCACCTATGTTTCAATTGTCTGCGTCGTGGACATCGGTCCATGAACTGTTTGTCGAAGAAAAGTTGTAGTAAGTGCAACAAGCGTCACCATTCCCTTTTGCATGATGATGCAAGCAAAACCGACGGTAGTGTTCCTTCAGGTAATTCGTCCAATCAGAGTAAGGGTGATAATGGGCCTGCTTCTCTTCCAGTTGTTACACAATCCCAAAGCGAGCGTTCTGCTGAATCCACAACACTCGTCTCGTCTTCTTGTTCTCTGACTGCTACGGTACCAAATGTTTTGCTTCTCACTGCTGTGGTGAATTTGGTGAATAAAAATAACCAACCAGTGCCATGTCGTGCTTTTCTCGACTGCGGGGCCCAGACGAATCTGATGTCTGCTTCAATGTACCAAAGGTTGGGTATCGAGGGCACTCCAGTGAATGTTGACATTGTTGGAGTCAGTAATGTTCGAAGTAAGTCTAACCGTCTCGTAACCGTGAACCTTCAGTCCCTCTACAGTGACTTCAAAGTTTCTCTCAAGTGTCTGGTAGCTCCAAAGATAACCAATGCTCTTCCGTGCAGGAAAGTTGATATCTCACAGTGGAATATTCCTTCCGGATTTCAACTGGCCGACCCCCAGTTCTATGTACCTTCCGATGTTGATTTGTTAATTGGAATGAATCACTTCTTCAGTCTTCTGCGAACCGGTCATCTAGTACTTGGTGACGGTCTTCCAGAATTGCGAGAAACCGAACTGGGTTGGGTGGTCTCAGGTGAGATTCGGGATGAATCAGTTGCGTTTGTGAGTCCACAACAAGTTAACGCAGTTTCTATTGAGTCCCTTAATGAAATGGTCAAACGGTTTTGGGAAATCGAGGAGGTAAATAACACTTCTCAGCGCACTGTAGAAGAAGAAGAATGTGAAAAAATCTTTCTTCAAACTCATCGTCGTGATTCATCCGGTAGATATGTCGTAAAGCTACCATTCCGAGATAATTTATCTCAACTGAACGACAACCGATCTTTGGCTCTGCGTCGTTTCTTCTTCCTTGAAAGACGTCTTCTCAGAGATCAGGAGCTACATGCACAGTATTCTGACTTTATTAAAGAATATGAGTCACTAGGACATTGCAGAGAGGTTCGAGAGTCCAATGATCCCCCTGGTATGATTAAATATTACATTCCACACCATGCTGTTATCAGACCGTCGAGTTCTAGTACCAAACTCAGAGTTGTTTTCGACGCGTCAGCAAAACCTCCTTCTGGAACCTCCCTAAATGATGTTTTGCAGGTCGGAGCAGTTGTCCAAAGCAGCCTTGAGACTGTGATTTTAAGATTCCGTAAGCACACGTACGTGTTCACTGCTGACATTGCCAAAAT